AGCAGCAGCCCCGGACCCGGTTTGTGCTTCTTCAGCAGCTGGGAGATCTTCTCGTCGTCGGAGTCCGGGTCCAGCGGCTTGTTGTAGTCCTCGTCCTCGTCCTCGTTGTCCGAAGTGCTCTTGAGCCGCTCGGTCTCCGAGTCCTGCTTCTTCTTCGCCGTGGCCATCTCCGCCGCGTGCTTTTTCCTCCACTTCGTCCGTCGGTTCTGGAACCAGACCTGCGGCACGCGCGCACACGCACACGCACCATGAGACAAAATAAAACCGGAGGTTATTAATGAATATTTGGTCGATGAAGCGGAAATCAAACACGGGTGCTCACTATTATTATTATTATTATTATTATTAATAATAATAATATTATTGTTAAATACAAGTACATATATAATGATTTCCTGGTTAAATTAAGGTTTAATCATTTAATTAATCAGATAATAACACAGTAATTTAATGTAACAGTTTATATAAAAACAACAACAATTACAACAGTAATTATAAGAATTATAGAAAACAACTCCAACAATTATAATAATAGTAACTAGATTTATCAACCTCATTTTAAACATTAAAAAAAATGAAACAATGCGCGGCACAAAATACTGTAAAGATACATAATTCACCCTATGAATTCTGGGAAGTTATGAGAGGAAATGCGGGTCGTGCACAATGGCTTCGCAATAAAATAACGTGGTGTTTTTTTGGTCTAAATTGGGCGTCGGTAGCGCGCGTGCTCACCTTCACCTGGCTCTCCGTCATTCCCAGGGAGTACGCGAGCCGCGCGCGCTCGGGGCCCGCGAGGTACTTGGTCTGCTCGAAGGTTTTCTCCAGCGCGAAGATCTGCTGCCCGGAGAAGGTGGGCCGCGTGTGCTTCCTCTTCCCGTCCTTGTCCAGGAGGATGGAGTTCTGATCTGTAACCATGGCAACGCGCAGGGTTAGAGCCGCGTGCGCACCGGAGGACGCGAACGACCCTTCAAGCTGCTTTTTAAACGATAAAGACTCACGCGGGGAGCACGCGAAGCGCGCGTCCCTCCAGGGGGGGGGGCTCTGCATCACTCCCGGCCAGAAGATCGGCGTCCGGCCAGGCAGGTCCGCGAGGGGCTTCGGGTACCGGGCCACGGCCACCGCCGCGCCGCCGGGGCCGAAGTAAAGTCCGTGAGGCGGCGGGCTGAGGCTGCCGAACCGGGGAAGACCGGACAGGAGCCCGCCGGCCCCGGGGAGCGCCGCGGGGGGCCGGCTGAGGATGTCGTTGATCCGTGCGGGGTCGCGGAAGAGCACTGCTGCGGGGAACTGAGCCCCGAGGACGGACCCGAGGAGCTCTTGATCCCGGGGAGGAGGACCCGGCCCATGCCGCCCGGGTTCGGAGAGGTGGAGCAGGTGGGTCCGGAGGAGGAGAGCGGGTAGGCCGGGTACAGCGGGGTCTTCATCTCGGCCATGCTGTGCAGAGCCGCCAGCGGGGGGGTGCTGAGGAGGAAGGCGCTCTGTCGGGACCCGTCCATCGGACCCACCGCCAACATTACCGCTTCTGGGTCCGACTAGAACTAAACCGGGACCCGCTGCGCTCTGGACTCACAGGCAAAGTCCATCTCAGAGGAAAAGCCCAAAAGTTGAGATGAAGGAGTAGACCGGCAGGGAGGGGATCCGGGTCCGGGTCCAGGTCCAGACGAGCACGGGACGCGCACAGATGTGGAGCTGAACAACTTGTGAGAGATAATAAAACACGATCACGTGTTCTGTCTATTAGCTCTCCGGACAAACTTTAGAGGAGGCCCTGATTGGCTCAGCGCACGGTTACGTCACACGTTGGATTTCGGGGAGCCTCCTGATTGGCTCGGCTCCGATTTGTCAGATGAGCCACCATCGAAGAAGAAATATTTGACGTCAAATAAACTTTAGAAAAAGGAAGAAAGTGGATTTTAAAGTCAGAAGATGTTTTGCTGTTTCAATGAGCACGTGATGCAGTTACAAGATTATGATTTAAATGATGTATTATTTAGTGTTGAGTAAAATAAATGTGTTGTTTAAATATTGTGACACATTAATTAACTCCAAGGGTGTAAGATCTGACTAAAAAACAATTTCAATATTTCTTAAATTTGACATTATATCTGTCCCAACTATCCTAATTGATGTTCCTCATGTAAAGTAACTGGCGGCATCGTCAGCGTACGCGTTGATCGCAGCGCCGGGCCAGTAGGGGGCGACTTCCCAACTTCCATCATATTTATATGGATGTTTGACAAAATCTGATTTCATAATCAAAGAGTCTCACAAGGATTCGATTATTTAACAGAAAACACTCCGTACTTTTGTATTTGTTTATTATTTATTTGCAAAATGTCAGATTAATATTCACCATATATTCAATTGAACCATTAACTTTGAAGCTGAACTAAAGTATTTATGAAGTTGTGGTGCATCATGGGGGATGTCACGTGAGACGGACGGAGGTCACGTGACCGACAGTCATCGGCTGCTTTTTACCTTTTCGTTTTTTCTTTAGCTCTTTTTAATTCTTTAATCTGGATTTGTTTGAAATCCGAATTTGAAAAGAGGCGAAACATCGGGAGAGACTTTTCTCCTTTACTCATCTTTTATTTCTGAGGCTGAACGCCTCTTTAATCCAACGATTCATTCGCTCTAATTCATATATTTAACGTGTGATTTTAAATAAAATGAACAAAGAAAGAATAATTCAAAGACCCCGAACGCACCGTCAGCGGATTCTGATTATTTTGTTATTGTTTTTTAAATGGTTCAACAATGAAGTTTCTCACTGAGATCCCATCAATCATCTTTATTTATACGCATACAAATACACTATCAGCACACATCTATTCCTGGAATATACATTTGGGAGTAGTGCTGTGTTTTTAATTAAACATCTGGAGTCATTATTACTTAAATAAGATCATCTCATAAATTATGAAGCATTGTTGTAGATCAAACTATGTATTAATGTGTTATTATGCACCCATTCATTACTATATATACACAAAAGACTAACAAATTGTAGCACTTAAATTACACTTATAATGGCACTTAGAGCAAATTGTAAATTGGCTTATTTAAGGAAATTTCACTTTCTTGTTTGTGTCCTTATGGTTGAAATGCATTTATTGTAAGTCGCTGTGGATAAAAGCGCCAGCTAAATGACACGTAATACATATTTATATATATATATATATACATTAGTTTTATATATATGTAATAATTATATACATAAATTATAAGTCACGAGACGTTGGTATGAAAATCTAAATTAAGAAAAGCAAATAACAGCATTGACTTATAAAATGATTTAAAATATGACCTACAAAATATTATAAATTATAAAATAATCTGTTGATTGTAAAAGTTATTGTCAGTGTTTTGTTGTTATGTTTAATATGTCAGTAAATGTTTTGTGAAATAAACAGTTAATGAGAATAAAATGATTATTTGTGGATGGAAACAGATTATTTGGACGTTGACCATAAATATGATTGACGTGGTTCAAATAGAATTAGCCTGTTGTCCTCGCGACACCTCGTGATATTGATAATAATATAATGATGAATATTCCGTGTGAGGGTGATGAACACTGAGGCCCGGCGGCGCCCCCCGCTGGTCAGGATGCGTCATCACGATCACTGAGCGACGCGTCACGTGGGACCTTTCTGAGTGCCGCTCTTATCATGGCCATTTGACCTTTGACCCTCTGCCTCAGACACCTAAAGGATTGTGGGTTCATTCAGTTGCAGCCGAAAGTCCAGGTATTTATACTATAAATTCATGTATTGAATTATTACACTACTTTAATACTAAAGCTACTCTAGTTAATTGCTTCAATACTATTTAATCATAGTTAAATACTCCATTAATTACTAGAGAACTTAAACACGTCACCCTTCTCATAAATGTGTGTAAGCGTCTTCAGAAACATTCATATCGCTAAAGTCAAGGAAATGAAATCGATTTATCAAACTAGTGTTTTCCCCGCATGGTTTGGTATTTGCACCACGGGGGGCGAGGCGGGTAACGTGAGACACGTGGTCATGTGACCATGTTTTCAGCGGGACGGAGACGTTGGTGCTGATGCTGTGGGAAGTATGGTTTCACAAAAATGTGTTTTTGTATGTAAAAGTAAAGTTTCTTTTAACGAATTGATGTCATACATGTGGATGAACACATAACATATTAAACCATGTGATTGGTGCTAGCTGAAGATTAGCCTGAAGAGACATTTTTAAAATGGTGGCTGTGGGGTAAAGTGAGACACTGTCTCCTTGTCTTCCTCTTAAGGACGACTGCATGATAGGAGCACCTCCAGGGGCCAAAGGTGGACGAGATCATCCGCTGCAGACCACTGGGTTCCCTCCTGACCCGTAATCACGTTAAAGGTTCTGTTGTGCTCGAGGCGACGCGTTCAGGCCCCTTACAGCCGCGCTCTGGGTGGATGAGATCTAACCAGCGGTGTGTCTACGTGCTACGCAGGGATTCTGCGTCAAGGATGAAAAGTCAAGGATTTACCCGCCAACTAAAGCGCGGTGATACGTAGCAGCAGCGTCGTGACAGAACGCTCCAAGTGTCCCTCATAAATTCACCCCGTCTGAAGTCACGTCACGTGGGCGGCCTATAAAACTATAGATCCTCGCTTACTGACGGACACATTGTCCTCACGTCTCCGTCCCGTCAACAGTCAGTATACTCACTACAAAAATATAGACCACCACTGGATCGAACTCTGGCAAAACACTCGTCAGCAGTGACTCCACAGAATATCACGTCTGGACTCGAGTCCACTGGGATTTTCCCGTGTAACCGTATATTTTTCCACAGGAAGCGTTTGCATCATCCATGGTGTCAGACCGGCAAACCCTGCAGCCACTGGTCCGTCCACGTGAGGTGATCCGGAAGGTTGGAGGTTCGAGTCCCGGCCGCCCCCATGTCTTAAGTCAAAGTGTCCCTGAGGAAGACACCTGACCCCCAATTGCTCCCCGTGAGAGGCCGTGGGTTTAAAGTGTAAAGTCGCGTCAGCTAAATGACATTAACTGTAGATATTTAGAATTAGACACAGCGAGAGATTTGTGGGTGTTAAATATTCTAAATGAGCCTTCAGGGTAAATTTCCAGAGGAACATTAATTCCCTCCGTTCATTAAAAGCAACTAAAACAGTCCACAACTTTCCTGTAAGTCGGTCAGCGATTGACTTGTTTATTCTACTCTTGAGCGACAGCCGCGGATCAGATTCTGATCACTTGGATTGAAGAAACGTCCTGAATTAGAGAAATGGGTGAATTTAACAATCAGAGGTACTACTTCATGTTTCTTTATGTCACCATGGAACCAGACTGGTAGCTGAATATATACTCATCACATTTATGGGAATACGATAATCATCACCGACAGGGAGTGATGTCATCGCTCATGAAGTGTCAGTCAACAATCAGACGTTATTGTTCATCACAAGTCTCGTTTTATTGGTTTTTACTCGCGGGCCATCAGCTTCTGCTTCTTCAGCTTCTTCTGAGAAACCTGCACAACAGAGAAGGACACGTGAGTCATCCGCCAGCACAGGCCCCTCCCCCGGCCCACAGGCCCCTCCCCCACACACCTTCTTCTTCTGGGCCACCTCCTCCTCCGGCTTGGGGACGATCTGCTCCTTCTCCGTGAGGATCATCTCGATGTGACACGGGGAGCTCATGTACGGGTTGATGCGCCCGTGAGCGCGGTACGTGCGCCGCCTCATCTTAGGCGCCTTGTTCACCTGGATGTGCTCGATGACCAGGGAGTCTACGTCCAGACCCTGGGACACGTCACACGGAGACACCGGGGAGGGGACGGACACGGAGGACAAATGATATTAAGATGTGAAAATTGAGCCAAAGTTACACGTCAACAATAAGTCCAGGTGAAGATTTATTATTCATCATTTATCAGACAGCTCAGATTTCATCTTTAATCTTCATGTAGAATCAAAGGTGTCCTAAATACTCATCACTGCTGTCTCTACCACTAGAGAGAGAGAGATAGATATATATATATATATATATAATATAGAGATAGATACATAGGTGTATTTAACTGGTGTGGGTGTTCAGGCACCTCCAGCTCCGATCAATAAGTGAGGACGGGTCGTGGCGTTCAGGTACCTCCAGCTCCGATCAATAAGTGATGGGCAGGCGGTGCGTTCAGGTACCTCCAGCTCCGATCAATAAGTGATGGGCAGGCGGTGCGTTCAGGCACCTCCAGCTCCGATCATTAAGTGATGGGCAGGCGGTGCGTTCAGGCACCTCCAGCTCCGATCAATTAGTGATGGGCAGGCGGTGCGTTCAGGTACCTTCAGCTCTGCGTTGCTCTCGGCGTTCTTCAGCATGTGGAGGAGGAACTCGGCGCTCTTCTTGGGCCACCGTCCCTGAGTCCACCCGAACTGTTTGGCCTGGAGACAAGAACAGCTGATCAGACCTGAGCGGCCCCCCTCTGACCCGCGTGCCGGCGGCCCGACGTCCCACCTGAGCGCAGCGGCCCACGCCGCCGTTGTAGCGGCGGAAGGGGACGCACTGGTGCTTCACGACGACGTCCCGCAGGTACTTGTTGGCCTTGCGGATGTGCATCCCTTTGATGGCCTGGGCCGTCTCACGGGTGTTCTGGCGGGGAAAACAACGTTTAACGTCAATTAGTCTTTCGTCTGGATCAATTACAAACTAACACTACTTCCTCTTATAAATCACATTTGATTAGTTTTAGTGACGCACGGCTCAGATATCATATTGTATCTTCAAGTAGAATCAAAGGTGTCCTAAATAATCATCACGGCCGTGAGCCCTGAGCTACTAACAGTTCAGTAAACGCGTCCTTAATGTTGCTCTTACCTTGAAGTGAACTCGCAGGTTCGATCCCCTCGACTTGCATGCTGTAAAAATAAAGACCCTCCAATTACTGCAGAACTTTCACTCTTTAAAACACATTTAAACTTCAAGAAGCTCAGATCTTTAATAGTCATTTTCATGCGTAATTCAAAGGTGTCCTAAGACATCATCACAGCCACAATGCTAACAGAAGCTAGCCGGTAAACACGAACAGTCGACCCGGGGATACTCACACTTGGTCGGGTTCTCGGGGTCCAGAGAGTAGCGGACCATTTTCAGATATCTGGAAGATCAGAGAGCGGTTTGATTAACTAAACATAATGACTCAACCGGCAGAACTACAGTAGCAGCGTGGACACGTGAAGCAGGTAGTGAGCCAACATGGCGGAGAGCTAACGTGATAGCATCCAAACCGGCATCCGCAGAAAGACCGCACTAAAACACAAGTCCCGCGTTCAAACGCAAAAATTCAACAACGGCCGAGATCTTCAAATGTTTTTAATGAAGCTCGACAAGTTAAGAAAGCGGGATGGACATGAATTAGTTCAGATTTAAGCTAGATTGTCGTCGTGGAGAGAGAGGACGGGTCTCTTACCTCTGAGGCCGCGGAGGGAAGAGGAAGAGCCTGGACGCAGCTCCTCTTCTTCTGCTTTATCTCCGCTGCACCGCCCCCTGGCGGCGCGGAGGGGGCGTGGACACCGCGCAGTGAGTCCGTCCGGGCGGCAGGGGGCGGTGCTGGACGCGTCACAGCTCACGTGTTCCTCCTTTGAGGAACATCCGGGACTTTCTGTCGCTGACACAAGGACATTTATACTCTATTTAAGTACAGTTTAGAGTTAATGCTCGAGTAAATGTTGTACTTTTTACTTCAATTAATTCAAATATTTAAGCATTGTACATACATTACATCTGACGGTGTTTATATCTGACGGTGTTTCCATCTGACGTTCGTTTATATCTGACGGTGGTTTTATCTGACGGTGTTTATATCTGACGGTGGTTTTATCTGACGGTGGTTTTATCTGACGGTGGTTTATATCTGACGGTGGTTTTATCTGATGGTGTTTATATCTGACGGTGGTTTTATCTGACGGTCGTTTATATCTAATGGTGTTTATATCTGACGGTGTTTCCATCTGACGGTCGTTTATATCTGCCGGTGGTTTTATCTGACGGTGGTTTTATCTGACGGTGTTTATATCTGACGGTGTTTATATCTGATGGTGGTTTTATCTGACGGTGTTTATATCTGACGGTGGTTTTATCTGACGGTGTTTATATCTGACGGGGTTTTATCTGACGGTGGTTTTATCTGATGGTGGTTTTATCTGATGGTGGTTTTATCTGATGGTGGTTTTATCTGATGGTGGTTTTATCTGATGGTGGTTTTATCTGACGGTCGTTTATATCTAATGGTGTTTATATCTGACGGTGTTTCCATCTGACGGTCGTTTATATCTGACGGTGGTTTTATCTGATGGTGGTTTCACACGGAAGAGGTCCGGCTGACGGGGGTCGATGGTTTTACTGGTCTGGCCCACTTGAGATCAAAGTGGACAGTATGCGGCCCGCTACCTGACATGAGTTTGACATCTCTGACTTAGACAATTGATCAATGAACCGAGGAAAGAATAATAATAACAATAACAATCAGCTGTTGATGACCTCAGAGATAATAAACCAATCAGAGCTCAGGTACTAAAGCAGTAGTTGTTTATTTGGTTTACTTCCTGTTGTTCTGTGACACCTCAGATCAGCTGATTGTCCAGTAAACACTGTAGATAATGTCAACATACAAAAATAAAGATATTATTTATACGTGAAAAAACACCCACACGTGATTTGAAGTAAAACAAATTGTGAATCTTCTGAATATTCATCTCATGCTGATCTTCTTCTCCTCTTCCTCCATTTTGTCACGTAGTTTAGCTCAGCCTGCAGTCAGTTTTTTTATAAAGTAACGTTACCAAATTATGACAAAAATATATATATTTAACTAACAGTGGGAAATATTAAAAGAAATTAATAAATATGGCGAAGTGTTTGATTTATTTAATTAATCCCTTTTGCCTTTTGATTTTTTTTAAATTAATATTAAATTGAAAATAAAATCAAGGTACTTTTGTAAATATAGGTACCTACCTATATCTCGGCGTAAATGTTGTACTTTTTAATCACCTAATAAATTGTGATTTCTTCATTAAATCTTTAAAGTAACAAACATTCAAAATTATAACATATATGTATTATTCTACATTGTGAGTACTTTTACCTTTGGCATTTTCAATGCATTTCAATGCTGATACTTTGGTACTGAAGTACGACTTTGAATGCAGGATACTTGTAGGACAGTATTTATGAACTGGTATTAGTAGTCTTGGCCTTCCATATTTCTTACATTTATTAAATGCTCCCTGATCAGTCCGATATACATAATAATACAATCAATATCATCAATAAGTATTAATGATCTTTAAATCGACCTCATGATTATTTTACATCACATTCGCTGTAGAGATGAATTATTAAAATGTTCCGATATGACGTGTTGGCCACAGAACCATCTGTTTTCAGTGTTTATGCTAAGCTAATCTACCTTAGCTAAGATCAGAGGAAGCTGAACTCACGCCGGTGACGCTCAGGGGAAAAGAAGAAGAGACACAGCTTGAGATTATCTTCAGATATATATTCACATGTTCATATTCACACGTGTAAATCTTCTTCTCATCTTCATCGGCTCAAACGTGCCAGAAAAAATCCGACATGAGACTGAGAGATAAGATAAAAAGATGAATTTACGCTTTGTGCTCATGGAAGTCCTCTAGAAGAGTCCAAGCTCCTCTAGAATAGTCCACGCTCCTCATGAAGATCCAAGCTCCTCATGAAGAGTCCGAGGTCCTCTAGAAGAGTCCAAGGGTCTCATGAAGAGTCCAAGCTCCTCCTGAAGATCCAAGATCCTCATGAAGAGTCCAAGATCCTTTAGAAGAGTCCAAGCTCCTCCTGAAGATCAAATATACTTTAGAAGAGTCCAAGCTCCTCATGAAAGTCCAAGCTCCTCATGAAGAGTCCAAGGGTCTCATGAAGAGTACAAGCTCCTCATGAAGCGTCCAAGGGTCTCATGAAGAGTCCAAGCTCCTCATGAAGAGTCCAAGCTCCTCATGAATAGTCCAAGTTCCTCCTGAAGATCCAAGATCCTCATGAAGAGTCCAAGATCCTCATGAAGAGTCCAAGCTCCTCCTGAAGATCAAAGATCCTTTAGAAGAGTCCAAGCTCCTCATGAAAGTCCAAGCTCCTCATGAAGCGTCCAAGCTCCTCATGAAGAGTCCACGGTCCTCTTGAAGAGATCTGCAACACAAACACACACGTCACCTACACACAGACACACAAACAACACTTACATACGCACACGTTACAAACACAGAAACACACACGTGACCTACACACAAGCACACTTATCAACACGTCATTGATAAACCCTGTATAGTATATTGCTTATTTGTGAAGGGAAATCCTTGTCTCTGATTGGCTGCTGCTCTAACATGTGATCAGCTCGCACTCCCTCCGTTATAAGAGCAGGGAGAAGAATGTAGTTTGAGACAAACGAAAGTGAAGAGACGATGTACGTACATGTGAGGCAGTGAGATCCAGTGTGATGGGGGCTTGATGCAGGCTGTGGGGGGCAGGGGGGTCAGATCACTTGAGACAGGGGCTGACCACGGTGGGGGTGGGCGGGTAGACCAGCACCACGTCAACCCGCTCCGTGCCGTTCTTTGGACAGACGATCTCGGTCAGACCTTCAGGCCTCGGCTGACTCAGCAGCTCACCTGAAACAGGAAGTCAGACAGGAAGTTACACAGTCATTTAAAGCTCATCTTGACCCATCCACGATCATAACTACACGGTCAGTGAATCCTGTTGCAGAGACGAGAACATTTGGTGCTATTAACTGCACTCCGCTTCTTTAAGTCCTATTGATCGGATCGATCCCAGTTTGTGCTTGTAAACGGTGAATCAACAATGACCACCAATGTTGGTCACGGAGTCCCACAAGGTTCTGTACTTGGACCAACTTTATTGACCCTCTATATGCTTCCTCTGGGCGAGACCGACCAGCTAGTTAGACTTCAAGAATGTCTTGTGTCATGTCCTTCAACTCTCACATAAAGAAGACTTCAAGGACTGCCTATTTTCATCTACGTAACATATCAAAAATCAGGAACTTCCTGTCTCAAAGTGATGCGGAAAAATGAGTTCATGCGTTTGTCACTTCCAGACTTTACTACTGGAATTCTCTGTTATCAGGCTGCTCTTGTAAATCTCTTAAGCCTCTCCAGTTGATTCAGAATGCTGCAGCACGTGTATTAACAAGAACTAAGACAAGGGATCATATCACTCCTGTATTAACTTCTCTGCACCGGCTCCCTGTTAAATGAAGAATAGATGTTAAGGTACTTCTCCTCACCTACAAGGCACTTGCTGGTGAGGCACAGTCGTATCTTAAAGAGCTTGTAACACCTTATTGCCCTACAAGGCAGCTGCGCTCCATAGATGCTGGTTACTTGTTGTTCCTGTGGTTTTAAAAAGTAGGCTGGGGGCCAGAGCCTTCAGTTATCAAGCTCCTCTTCTGTGGAACCAGCTTCCACTTTCAGTTAATGCACATCACTAATTCAGCTTCTTTCCGGGAGTTTGTTGTGTTTTCTCCCCTAGCAGGTTTCCATGGATCATGGTTCTATCTGGACCCTGGTCCTGCCTCCTGCCGTGGCCCTGCTGCTGCCATCATCATGATTACTATTACGGTCATCGTAAACCAACATTACCTTCTCCTAAAGTCTCTGTGCTCGCCCTCCCACAGGCTTCTGTGGATGGTGGTTCTATCTGATGGTGGTTCTATGTGACGGTGGTTCTATGTGATGGTGGTTCTATGTGATGGTGGTTCTGTGTGATGGTGGTTCTATCTGATGGTGGTTCTATCTGATGGTGGTTCTATGTGAAGGTGGTTCTGTGTGATGGTGGTTCTATCTGATGGTGGTTCTGTGGATGGTGGTTCTGTGTGATGGTGGTTCTGTGTGATGGTGGTTCTGTGTGATGGTGGTTCTATCTGATGGTGGTTCTATGTGAAGGTGGTTCTATGTGATGGTGGTTGTATGTGATGGTGGTTCTATCTCATGGTGGTTCTATCTGATGGTGGTTCTGTGTGATGGTGGTTCTGTGTGATGGTGGTTCTGTGTGATGGTGGTTCTATGTGATGGTGGCTTAATATGTGATGGTGGTTCTATGTGATGGTGGTTCTATGTGATGGTGGTTGTCTTGTGTACTCAGTTATTTGAATCATTTCTCTTATATGAATTGAATGTATCGTTCATCTTCTACATTGTTCATTCTGTCCTCATCACATCATCGTAGTCGGTCCATCAGGAGACGGATCCTCTGACGTTCTCACTGAGGTTTCTTCTCTTTTCTCCCCATGAAGGGTTCTCATTGTTGGGGGGTTCCTGTGCTGATGTGAGGGTTTGGGGACAGAGGATGTTGCATTGTATGGACTGTAAATCCCTGAGAGCCGTACTAAATAAAACGAATTGAATGATCATAACAGCAGTTTACAGATGAGTCTCTGACTGATGAACTACAATAAGTATCTATATATCTCATGTTTGTTATCACACAATATTTACCAACCTACTGGTATTACGCTGAGCAGCGCAGCCTCAGACCTTCTTGTGGTATAAAGTTTAGATTTAAGGAGTTAAATGAGTTTCACGGTAAACCAACAAGATGAGGAGCAGCTTTGTTCTTAACCTCGTAAATAAAGCAGCACTTCACCATTAAGCGTATTGATCCTGCTGCGGTGACGGAGGAGTCACACATCAACCCCCCCCAGGTAGAAGAATCCTCCACATTCCTGCAGGAACTCGCATCCATAAAAGAACAAAGTCACCGCGCAGACAGATGACATCACTTCCTGTTCCACTGTGACCCTCAAGACGTTTAAAGACGTTTGGACATTTAAGAATACTCGATGCTTCATTTACAGACCAGTGGCAAAACATCACAGCGACAGCAAAAAACTGGATTAAGGTCACCAGATACCATCAGGTCACCGTGGCAACGGGTAACAGACGACTCAAATGGACTTTCTGGATCTCACATCTGGATCCATGTTCCTCATCAGCCTCCGAACTCGTGTGTTTGTTCCTGTGACAATTTGAAACACTCGAGTCTCGTCTTCCTGCCGTCAAACCACCGCGATGTCACATCTTCATCGTCACATGACCACACAGTCCACCAGGTCCACGCAGAACCAAAGATCATCACGTGGGAGCTGAAATCAGCTTATGGTCTAATCCCCCTCAGAGGAGCTGCTCCCATGATGCACTGGGCTGCAGAGGGTTGGACTCATTGTCCCAGAATACCTTCATATGTCTGAAGTAGATGGGAATCATGTCTAATGAGTCAGAGCAGCTTTAAAGCTCTTTCCTTCTACAATGTGAGACATTTGAGACTCGCTGACCTTCAGGTCCAACACAGCTTTTCTCCACAATTAGTCCTCACACACACACACACACACACACACGCACACACAGGCACACACAGACACACACACACACACACTTCGATTCTCTTGAATAATCAGTTAAACTAAAGGGGTTTCTCCTCAGTTTCCTTGTGACGGATCATTTAGTTCCACATCTTCTAATACACATTTTATCTGAGTGAGAGCACAGAGTTCTATCTCAGACAGACAGACAGACAGACAGACAGACAGACAGACAGATGTCAACATCTGGGGTGCAACACTCACATCATTCGAAGAAGTAAACACACTTTGTGTCTGTTGGTTTCTGCATAAATGTTTTAAACTACAGACATTAAGCTTCATTAATATCTTTTACTCACACGATTAACTAACAAGCTCGTTTCCTAGCTGGTGGTAATTAGTGGTTCTTGGGACTTTGACACGTCCAGAGGGAATAAAATATTGAAGTTAAAAAACTATAATAATCTAACTAAATAAATGAATATAAAGCATTTGTTTTCAAATGGACTTAATCCATTAAATCAGCTGGTTTGACTCTCGACCTGAATCCACAGGAAGTGGCGCTGTTCCTCTTCTTCTTCTACTGCAGAATAAACTGCTTCTGTGAGTTTAATCCCCGTTTAATCCGTTAATCTGATTAAAGATCAACGAGTGGAGCTGAGTTTAGAGGAGAGAAAGTGCTGCGACTCCAAACACACAATATACACACGTGTACACGTGTCGTTGTGTATGTTTAAACAAATACACACAAAGAAGAATGTATTCATTGTCATCAAAGGTGGAAGAAGTAGAACCGTGTAGAAATATAAAAGTATGAGCATGAAATTAAACTGAATAACAACGGTAATTGTGTTTTGTGCCGATACAGGCGTTTTATTTTGAAGGAGTCTTTAAACATGAAGTTGTTCCTCTAAAGGTCACCGCATGTTTGTGCGTCTTTACGTGTCGACGCACTCGTTTCCCTTCCTGGTTGTAAGGTCGGCCTGCTGCGTCTCTGACAACGCAGAAGCATAAACTAGTCTTTATTCTCGATGGAATCTGTGTTTATCTCATCACTTCCTCTCCACCTTCATCATCTCCACCTTTATCCTCATCTTCATGGGAGGAAACTTGGTGACTGACAGCAGGAAGTGTCCATCTTGCTGCAGGCAGGAGTTTCTCTGCGTCTACTATTTATTTTGCATTGATAGTGTTTGAGTCCAGCCCCGTGGAGCCCCGTGGAGCCCCGTGGAGCCCCGTGGAGCCCCGTGGAGCCCCGTGGAGCCCCGTGTGCACGATGAGCACGATGTGCTGATGGGTGATTATTATTTTTTCATCTTCAGGAATAAAGGTCTGCAGAGAAAACTCTTGTTTTGGAATTTTAAAAAGCTGGAAACGGACGGAAAGATCTGCACCTTTTGATCGCCGTTGGTTCATTAAAACCTTCTTACCAACTGTTTATTTATTGATGATTATCAGTTTAATCCACAATAACAAGTGTTGTTTAAAAGCAGCAACTGCAGAGAGGAAGAGAAACGAGTTTCATCGTCCTCGTCTTGCTCTGCGTCTGAGGGCCGACACCACACTATAGCTGGTTAGCTTAGCTTAGCATTAAATAAATATTATTATCAAACTAATTATTGTAATTATGATGATCAGTTGTATCATCACAGTAACTATTATGATTATGATGACTTATCTTATAGATTGAACAGAATAATCTTATTGTACGTCGCTTTGGATAAAAGCGTCAGCTAAATGACATGTAATGTAATGTAATAAAACTGTCTTTGTTTAAGTTTGCAGCGATGACATCATCTCACAGATAAACATGACGACCTCACAGGAAGTTTCATTGTCATTTTTCTGAAAATCAAATCTGTAAAAGGATCTACTGACATGCGTGACATGCGTGACATGCGTGACATGCGTGACATGCGTGACCTGCCCTCATGCGTGTAGCAGTATGTAAACACACAGAATGGCGGCTCATGGCGGGCTCACCTGGGAAGGCGTGCGGGCTGGAGGCGCCTCTCCTCAGGCACCTGGAGCAGAGCACGTGCACCGAGTAGTGGAGGCCCGGCCACTCCCCCAGCAGCGCGTTCAGCTCCTCCACCAGCGGCGTGACGGCCTGCCACGCCGTCCACATGTTGGGCAGCGAGGCGCGGCTGGCGATGGACAGGGTCTCCGGCCGCGCCGCCCCCCCCCCGGCGGGCCGGTGGCTGACCACCACGGGCACTTTTCCCCGGTGGGCCGAGATCTGCCGCCGGCCGTCCGACCGCTGCACCACGTGGCCGTTTATCCGCACGCCGAAACGGGCGAACAGCCCGGGGGGGAACAAGAAGGGGAAGCTGTAGCGGATGTGCAGCTGCTCCACGGAGAAGAAGGGGCACGGGGGCAGCGGCGAGGAGGAGGCCTCCGCCCGCACCTCCTCCTCCTCCTCCTCGCCGTTCACGTAGCTGGGGAACTTGTACAGCGCCGCGGCGCAGTGGGGCGGGCGGCTGCGTGGCTTGTTGACGCAGTAGCAGATCCCCATCTTCTCCAGCAGCTCCATGATGAGGCGCAGGTCCTGCTGGGTCTGGATGAGCGGCCGCAGGAGCAGGCGGATCACGTTGGCGGGCAACAGGCCGTGTTGGAGGAAGCCCTCCACGTGGTGCTGCAGGTGGGTCACCCTGAGGGTCTCTCCCGTCTCGTCCTCGATCACCAGACTCACCCTGGCCCGGCCCCCCCGGCCCCCTTCTGAGAGGAGCCTGTCCAGCAGCGACGACTCGTCCCTCTGGAAGAAGACGTTGAGAATGGCGATGAATCGCGGCAGGTTGTGAAACACGTACTCCTTCAGGGTGGGGGAGTCCTCGAAGTAGAGCAGCTTCCCGCTCTCGTGCAGGTAGGACAGGGCGCTCTGCAGCCGGTCCTCCGTCAGCCCCGCCTGCAGGCCCAGACGGGCCGAGTCCCACCACGACAGCCACAGCGCTTTGGGTTTGAAGTGCAGCTCCTCCAGCACCTGCCAGGACTTGGGCAGCACGCGGTGGAGGTTGGGGAAGATGTCCCTGTGGTCCGCGACGGACATGAGCTTCTCCCTCAGCCGCTGGATGTTCCTCTGGCTCTCCGAGCAGCTGACGCTCAGCACGGGCGACAGGATCTGCAGCCGGTGGTTCAGCATGTACTGCAGCTGCGATTTCCTCCGCCGAAGGTTCCGGTCGGAGACGCCATAGAAGAGGACGTGGGGGCTGGAGGAGCGCAGGTTGAAGCCCTGCTCCAGAGCCTGGTCCACCTGCAGAGCCTGACTCCTCAGGACCTGGATGTCCCTCTTCTCCTGCAGCCCGATCTGCCTGTGAATGTCCAGGCTCTTCTCCTCCGCCTCCACTCCCCCGCACAGGTCTGCGTGCGTCCCCACCAGGCACACAACGGCGTCGGGCACTTTAGCACCAAGGAGGCGGAGGAAATACCCGACGCGGGCGTAGAAGTTTCTGGGCGAGTAGGTTTTCAGGTTGACCACGAGGACGTAGAGGGCCCCGGGGGAGAGGAAGAAGGGGTTGATGAGGTCATAGTTCTGCTTCCCTGAAAGGTCGAACACCAGAAAGGTGAGGCAGCGCTCGGCGTCCGCCACCCAGTCGGTGACCTCGATCCCTCCGCTCCCCTGGAGGCCGCCAGCGCCCGTCGGCCGCCTCGCCACGCTCAGCCTTAGGCGGGTCTTCCCGGCGTCGGTCGCGCCCATCAGGACCAACTTGAGGCGCGGTTTGACGGCGAGCTGCAGCTGAGCCAGCTCCTTCTGGTAGGCCGCGATGTACGGGATGCCCTTCATGCAGACCTCGTAGGGGGGCTGGATGAGAGGGTTGTCCTTCACTTTCCAGATGTTCACCCTGGACAGCTTCCCAAAGTTATCGGGGAGAATGGCGATTTGGTTTCCCTGCAGCACAAGCTCCTCCAGCTTCTCCAGCTCCACGATGGAGTCAGGCAGGTACGTGATGTTGTTGTTGTCCAGCCAAAGGTTGGCCAGCTTCAGCAGCTGCCCGACCTGCTCCGGGATGTGGGTCAGTTTGTTCCTGCTCAGGTAAATCTCCTCCAGCCCCGTGATACAGAAGAGGACCTGAGGGAAGTCCTCAAACTCGTTGGAGGACAGATTGAGCATTTTCAGTCTCTGCATGCGTCCGAAAGCGGCGGGCAGCGCTGACAGCTCGTTCCCGTCCAGCATCAGGCTCTCCAGGTGGTGCAGGTGACAGAAGGAGTCCGGCAGCGCTGACACGTGAAGGCTGCTGAGCCACAGGATCTTGAGGGACCGCAGCTTCATGATGTCGGCCGGCAGCTCCTGGAACTTGTTCCCGGAGCAGTCCAGCTCCTCCAGCTCGCCGAGGGCCAGGATCTCAGCGGGGAAGCGGTTCAGCTTGTTGTGATCCACGTCCAGCGTCCGCAGCTTGGCGAGGGCGGAGAAGGACCCGGGGAGGTCGCGCAGGTCGTTGAAGCTGAGGTCGAGCTCCTCCAGAGCCTGAAGACCTCCGATCTGAGCCGGCAGACTCTGGATTTTGTTGTGACTGACGCAGAGCTTCTTCAGCTCCCTCAGCTGGCCCACGCCTTCAGAGAGGCTTCGCAGGACGTTGTGGCTCACGTCCAGCTCCACCAGGCGCACCAGCTCCAGCACCACCCGGGGCACAGTGGAGAACTTGTTCCTGCGGAGCACCAGGACCCGCAGGCCGTTGAGGCTGGATCCCAGCCCGTCGGGCAGCTGCTGCAGAGAGTTGTTGCCCAGGTTGAGCGCCTCCACCTCGGATATGTCGTCGGGCAGAACGATCTGGTTGTCTTTGGAGCAGAGCGTCAGCTGGCGCAGGTTGCTGCGCAGCTTCCTGGAGCGCAGGGCGGCATCCCTCCACAGCCGCGCCGTCTTCACGTCGCTCTCCTTCTCCTCCGGGGCGTAGCAGCCGGAGCCCCCCTCCTCCTCCGCCTCCTCCTCCGCCTCCTTGTTATCATGGAGAGTCTTCATGGAGAGCGAGCGGGCGGCCGGGCGGACGGCGAGTCCTCCGCCGCGCAGGGGACACAACGCGGGGCGCGTCCGGGGATCGGGACACTCTTCGACGGCAGCGGGAGCAGCGTGTGCGGCGCCGGAGGCATCGTCACCGCCGCGCGACGCGCGACGACGCCAGAACAACGCGCGTTACAGCCGCGGGTTCGATCCCCGCTGCGGGGCGCGGGGGCGCGCGCCCGGCGCCTCCCTCGCGCGCGTCCACATCGTCCTCCGGAGCTCCGGTCGTCTGTCGGCGTGTCGGCGCGTCCCGGGCCGAAGGCTCTCTTCCTGGGAGCGGCGAGGGGAAGTGAGGCGGCCGCTGCTCACTGCGTCAGATCGGAGAGCCCTCCTCCTCCGTTACTCCTCCCCCTCCTCTTCCTCCTCCTCCTCCTGCTCCTCCTCCGTTACTCCTCCCCCTCCTCCTCTTCCTCCTTCTCCTCCTCCGTTACTCCTCCCCCTCCTCCTCTTCCTCCTTCTCCTCCTCCGTTACTCCTCCCCCTCCTCCTCTTCCTCCTCTCCCTCCGTTACTCCTCCCCCTCCTCCTCTTCCTGCTCCTCCTCCTCCCCCTCATGCTGAGGGGAGACTGAGGAAGAGGAGGAGGGGAAGATGTGCTTCGAATAAGCAGAAATCGTTTGTTTCGCAGAGCAACGTTTCAATGAGAATCAAACGTTAGACTCGTGCACATGGACAGATCGGATTTAAGGGACACGTTAGGAAGACAGAAGACACAAGCACTTTGTCTCCATCTGCAGGACACAAACTGTGTGGTGGGTTAAACTTATTCCATCATCATGCAGCGAACTAAATAAAAGGTTAATAAACATTTAACATCTTTTGAGTTTGGTTCAAGGAGACCGACGAGTACCTGAAGTACTTCAGGTACTACTGAGCAGTACTGACCACTAAGAAGTACTGTCCCAGGTGAGTGGATGACAACATACCAGTCTTCATACACGTCCCTGCTGTAGACCCAGGTCAGTCTGGCTCCCAGACGGGACCCGTTAGACCTGCAGGACCTTCACCTCCTCCTCTGTGAGGAGGTGAAATCCCCCGAGGAGGAGACATGAGATCCTTCACGAGCTAATCTATGATCGAGGTCTACCGGACGAGATTATATATATATAAAGTAATACACACATAAAATAGACACACACACGAATCAATGAGCTGTTGAATAAATAAACTTTTGCACAAGAGTGGAGCGAGACCAGGACCAGCAGCGGACCAGTTGACCCAGTTAACGTCTCATTGGTTCTACCTGTCTGACCAGAGGAAACTTGAGCTGCTTTGAGTTAATATTCAGTCATCGTTTTCTTAACATGAATAAAAACCTTAAAGCAAAACTATTAAATATTTCTTTGTACAGTTTCACATCAAACTTTGACCGACATTAAAAAAACAAGACAAGTTTAAAAAGTTTGACTTTATTGACTCATTTCTCCAGCGATGTGCATAGAAACATATTCAAGGACTCAGCAGCGTCTCTGTGGCTCAAACAAGGCGATAAAAAGGTGCAAGTTGAGGCTCCGCAGTGAAACATGGAAGAGCTTCATAAGAATTCAGATCAATAGCAGCTAAACAATCCTTTAAAAACAGCTCACTTTATTAGAATAGTAACTAACAGACGGTCTGAGGGTGGAACCGCGCTGTGATCAATTTATTCACATTAATGCTCACGATGAACAGACAACAAGAAAACGATTCTAAAGTTCTGACACTTGGTTAAGAAAAGAAGCTCAGGCAATTACCAAGTTCCCCCCTCAGGTGGACCCTCAGGTGGACCCTCAGGTGGACCCTCAGGTGGACCCTCAGGTGGACCCTGGTTACTCCCCAGGAGACGCTCCACATGGAGCATGAAGCTACGGCTCGTCCACGTTCTGCATTCAAAATGTCAGTGGCAGAGCCCCAGTTCCCAGTCGGACCTTCTGGGGCCACTTCCTGCTCAGTAGTACGCCCACTTCCTGCTCAGTAGTACGCCCACTTCCTGCTCAGTAGTACGCCCACTTCCTGCTCAGTAGTACGGCCCCGTGTTCTCGTGGCCCGCGTAGCTCGGCCAGTCGGGGAAGATCCCGTGTGAGCAGGTGGGGCTGCCGTATCTGTCAGAGTGGATCCCAAAGTCGAAGGAGTCCGCATGCCGCCTGGGGCCCCCCGGCCGGCTGCGCCTGGCCGAGGACCACACAATCCGGTAGTTGCCCCCCTGGCTGCCGCCCCCCTGGTTGCTGTCCCAGTACTCTCGCCCCCCCACCTGGTAGCAGACGGCAAACTCCACGTGCTCGTGAGGCCGCAGCCGCTCCGGCAGCGAGGCGCTGAAGGAGAAGGTGTCGCTGAAGGCCGTGGGGTACGAGTCCTTCACGTACTCGCAGACCACGTCCCGGTGGCTCCTCCAGCCGTCCGACGTCAGCCGCAGCTTCACAGACTTCTCGAAGGACACGTTTTTGACCTTGACGGTTCCCGCCAGAGCTTTCTCCTTCAGCACGCAGTGCTCCAGGCAGACAAAGTTCTCCTCCAGGCTCTGGCGGAAGCGCAGGTAGTCCGAGGAGGGCTGAGCGAAGTCCAGCACCAGCTGGTCTTCCTCGGCGGTGAGGGTAAGTGCGGAGCTCAGCATCTCCTGGATGTTCAGAGGGATGTCGATGGGGTCGTCGAACTGAGAGAAGACCTTCACCCTGGTCAGGGACAGACCTCGATGGTCAGCGAACGTCACCCGCTTGGCGGCCCGGCCAGAGTCTCTCCCGGGGGCTCGGGCCTCCTCGGGCGCCGTTGGCTCCTCGTGGGGGGAACGCCGCAGCCTCAGGCAGGAGCTGAAAGCCGGTTTGCGTGTTTTAGGAGACATCCTGTAGACAAACTGCTCCTTGGACAGGTACAGAGGTGGAGTCATGTTGGGGGGCCGGGGGGGCTCTGAAACACAGGAGACACGTGACTGATGACGAGATGATGTCTACTAAACCACAGCGGCGCTATGACATCAGAAGTCAGACGGTGTCGTAGATCTGCAGAAAAACACATGAATATCAATGAAATGTATCAACAACAATTCCTCATTGCTCCCCAGAGAGCTTCATGGGCACAGAAGCCTCCTTCAACCTGCTGAACATCTACAACCTGGACGGCCTTCTTCACAGGAAGGACTTCATGAGCTCCTCCTGTTCCTACAGCGAGGATCTAAATATCTGCTGCTCCGCCTTTATCATCAATACACCAGCTTCTCAACACCGAGGCTGCCTTTCCTCCATGTGCTCTTCTCCCTGCTGCTCCACCACATGGTCACCTCCACCACTGCAATGTGCACCTCCACCAGGAGCTCCACCTCTACTATGTGCACCACCCCTAATGCAATGTGCACCTCCACCAGGAGCACCACCTCTACTACGTGCCCCTCCACCAGGAGCTCCACCTCTACTATGTGCACCACCCCTAATGCAATGTGCACCTCCACCAGGAGCACCACCTCTACTACGTGCCCCTCCACCAGGAGCACCACCTCTACTACGTGCCCCTCCACCAGGAGCTTCACCTCTACTATGTGCACCACCCCTAATGCAATGTGCACCTCCACCAGGAGCACCACCTCTACTATGTGCACCATCCCCAGAGCAATGTGCCCCTCGTTTTTGAGCACCACCTCCTATAATAGCACCTCCACCATGTGGGTTGGTCGGCGGGTCGCCGTGTCCCACTCGGCTCGTGCAGCGGTGACCAGTGACTGAGTGACGTCACGGTGGGTGGGAGCTGCTGTGAATGACGACATGAAGTGTTAACGCGCTTTGAGTGGTCACGAGACCAGAGAAGCGCTACACAAGTACGGTCCATTCGCCCCGCCCCTCCTCATGTCCCTTCCTCACATCTCCTCCTCTTCCTCCCTTTGGTTCCTTTCTGCTGCATCCGGTCCACGCCGTAACATCTAAACACTTCATAAAGTAGCAGAGGAACTTCTACGTCACTTCATCAGGCCGCACGCGACCCGGAGCACTCGGACTACCTCCCCCTCCTCTTCCTCCTCTTCCTCCTCTTCCTCCCCACTACTTGCGGGGACTTTGTTTGCAGGACTTGAGCCCTCCTCCCCTCACCTGGCCCGTTTCCCGCTCACTCACCTTCACCGTGTCGGCGTCATGGCGGTCTGGTCTTTGATCCGCGCTGCGTGCTCGCGAGCTCCTCGCTTTCTAATCTTCTCACACATGTTTGTCTCCCACACGGGGTTCACGTGAACAGCTGCACGTAAGCCAATGGGGGAGCAGGCTGAGGAGTGGGGGAGGGGCTTTAAGGGGGAGGGGCAGGAGAAGCCGGCCGTCTGTCAATCAGCTGTCTGTGAGAAGTACGGAGGCTCATTGGTGTCAAAGTAAATGCGATTTGTAGGATTATTCACAATTGATGTTTTATCATCGATTAAAATCTAAAAAGTAATTCAAATGAATTTGGATCTTTAGTCCACACTTTGTCAATTCAAACTCACTAAGCCACATGAGTATTAATTAGGAATTTTATTTTTGTCTTATTTAACCAGATTATTTATTCATGTCTGTTTAGTACCTAAAATAAATTGGAATTCTGACACTCTTATTAATCCTTTAATAGTTATGGTCGGTACAAAGTTATTCTGGAACCGGCTGTTCTTTTGGGCCTCCGATAACCTGGTCAATATTTGCAGAGGGTTAAACCTGGAGGAGAAGGGGAAAGGTCAGAGGTCTCTGATAAGGCCTCCATGTCCTGACTGAGCCACCGCGAGTGGAGCCCGACCTGCACAGGCTCTCTGCTCATGGAACCCAGCTAGAGGGAAAAAAGGGATCGATGGCAGCTCTCGTCTGGACCTTCTCATCAGGTCAATGTTCTGGTGTTGCTCTGAGCCCCCAAACATGGATTAACACGAGCACAACATGCACAAATCAGAATCACAATCAGGCCGAGTCCTGCACGACGCAGACTTGACTTGATAGTTAACGGCCTGCTTGCCTGGTTGCTGGGCTGCCCACCTGGATGTCGTCAGGTTGTGACCTTTGACCCGTGGGTCCTTTGGACCAGCTGCCAAGTGGTAAAGTACCGGGAGAGAAAGCAGCTTCTGCTTGGAGTGGATGTGACCTGGAGGACAGTCAGTGGGGGGCCGTGCTTGTAATGCGTTTTACAGTTCACCAATGAAATCATTGTGACGGGGCCCCGGACCCCTTTGTTGGATAATTAATTCCCCCGCCTCTCAGCCCACATTAAATAAAGGTGAACAAAACCAATGATAATGTGTGTAAAAAAAAAAGATCATGTGTTTATTCTAGCATGCCGCCTGATACAGATCTATTAGATTCTCCATATATACGATCCATCCATAGAGTTAAGAATATTAACTGTGATTGTAGTAATACATTGTTCCATCCTGTAGGGGGAAATAATAAAGTCCAAGCCGAAGAGAAGGAAGAAGAAATAAACTACCGCGCATGCGTTGCTCTACCGATCGGTTTTGGGTGACGTCATCGTCCTCTCCTCTGAATTCCTCCTGGACAGAATACCCGGATGTGACTGTTGCATGCAGCAGACGGCGATTCGTCCATCGGGAAACAGATGTTTTTCACGTTAAAACATCGCGGAGAATAAAAACGTTGCCGCACGGAGATTTTACCGAGCGTTCTGATTTCACCTCACCGGTGTAGAGTCACATAAATCACGGTAAGACTCTTCCCGGCGACTGTTGTCGTTTTGTTTTGCAACACAAGCCAGCTAGCTGGCTAGCTGTCATGTTAGCTTAGCCGGTTAGCTGATGTGGCTCTGTTCAAGTGGGCGGAGAACAGCTGGCTTAGCGATGCCTGTGTGTCCGTACGTGTAGCGGTGTTATGAGGAATAACCTTTAGTTGGTGTTTTGATGCGCTGACGTGTGACTGTTAGTTGTTCAGCAGTGAGTCGGTCTGACAACAACAGAGAGCAGCTGTTTATTGTTGTTATTATTATTATTACAGTGTGCGGTACACCGGAAGTACAACGCGCTGTCACCTACAACGTATCATTGCATTAACCATTGATTTATTCATCGAGAAGTGTATGTTAGAAAAAGTCAATACAAAAACAAGCAGCACAATATATTTATTTCATCACTGTGACCAACTTGATGGTTCCTGATGTCCAGACTGCTTCTGGGCTGTAGTTTCCTTAATCTGATCCCCACATTGAGCAGACCGGCTGGGTTCTAGTCAGGACCAGTTCCCCGGTGTCATAGTGGTGTTTAGTGGTTTGAGCCGTCCTGCCCCCCCTGGAATGGCACAGAGGACTCATAGATGAAGCTCCTTCTGCTGCTGCTGGAGTCTCTTGTAGTTAATGAAGCACTAATCATGTAGCATGTAACTGTCTCATCATCATCATCATCATCGTCATCGTCAGAGTTTCACAGGCATGTTTCAGTTGCCTTTAGTACTTTATTAATTCTTAAAGTAGTTCATTGATACTCAACATTAGTACTCTGGACGCATTCTACCTCTGATTTATGATAAATATGTTATTATTCAATTTATATTTGTAAATGAATAAATTACATCATATTTATCACATGACAACAACAGCTCAACACATAATCAACATTCACACACACTAAATCCTCATCGTGTGCAAACTGAAGCCCAAAATGAACCCAGTGCTGTGATTTGATGGTGATGCCGATTACTGGAACGCCTGAATGTTTCCTCTTCCTCTGCACCCGTCCATCATCTGGACCTGGACCCCCTGCAGGTCTGGGCCGGCCCGCTGAGAGGAGTAGGCGGGATGAGCGGAGCCGCTCTGGCCATCGAGATCGTGGTGGTGTTTTTCCTGGCGCTGTTCCTCCTGCATCGGTATGGAGACTTCCGGAGGCAGCAGCGCATGGTGCTGTTCGGCACGCTGCTGGCCTGGTACCTGTGCTTCCTCATCGTCTTCATCCTCCCGCTGGACGTCAGCACTGTGAGTACCGGGCATGGACCTGTGCACCCGGGCCCACGGCAGCATGTGATCCCGTCTTCCTCTGTCCTCACAGACCATCTACAAGCAGTGTAAGATAGACCAAGAGGGACACGCCCCAGCCAATCACACGCCGGCGAACGCCTCCGTCACGCCAACTGAGAGGTGAGTGTTGAGGTCTTTAGCTTCAGCAGCACATCGGGACCCTCAAGTGGTGGGGGGGGTTTAGAGGAGCTTCGATGCTTCCTTTATTAGCTCTTTTGGCCAAAGGCTGGATTGAAATAGTCAAATGTTCTCAGGAAGGTTCCTCACTGAGTGAAGAGAGGTGACGTAGTGGAAGTGGCACCATGTTGGAATTCTCTAATGCTAAGGAAAGGAGCTACAATGCTTCCCCACTTAGCTCCTTTAGCAAAGGAACCACGGGACCATCCTTTACCAAAGAAAGTGTCCCACAAAGTGCTCCTTGCAATATTTAAATAGTGACGTGTCATTGGTCCGTTCAGGAGAACGATCGTGACGTAGAAACGCAGATCATGTGAGTAACGGCTGCATCACTCACGCCAAACTGCTGCCAAAAGCTCCTTCTACCAATCCAGAATCCAATCTTCATTTTATGACCCCAAAAAACTCTTTTCCATCTTCTCCAACCTCCTCGACCCCCCTAGTCCTCCTCCCTCCTCCTCCCTTCTTCCAGGAGACTTTGGCAACTACTTTACCAAGAACATAGCTGACATACGCTCCTCCTTCTCAAACCCACTGGCTTCACCTCTATCGCCCTCACTTCCCTCCTTCACCCCCCGTCTCCTAACCAGGTTCTTACCCTAGTAACCTCTGCCCACCCACCTTTCCTTGACCCCCTACAGAGGTCAAGGAAAAGGTGGTTAGGAATAGACGTTTTTTAAGAATTGAAATCCAGACTAGGAAAGGTTGGATGCGTCCTCTATTAGCTCCTTCAGCCTAGGAAAGGTTGGATGCGTCCTATTAGCTCCTTCAGCCTAGGAAAGGTTGGATGCCTCCTCTATTAGCTCCTTCAGCCTAGGAAAGGTTGGATGCGTCCTCTATTAGCTCCTTCAGCCTAGGAAAGGTTCTACGACGCTTCCTGTATTGGCTCCTTTGTTATTAACCCCTTATGAAGAAGAGGTGGTTAGGAAAGGACGCTAGGAGCTCTGTATCTCAGCTCACACCTGTTCTCCTCCTCCTCCTCCTTCTCCTCCGCTGCAGCAAACTGAAGCCCTGCTACAAGCCATGGAGCTACATCCCAGATGGCATCATGCCCGTGTTCTGGAGGGTGGTGTACTGGACGTCCCAGTGTCTCACATGGTCTGTTCGACTAGCGTTTTATAAATACATGTGCTCATGTATGTATATTGAACACTGCGTCCTCCTCTGCCAGGCTGCTGCTTCCTTTCATGCAATCCTACGCTCGCTCAGGAGGCTTCTCCATCGCCGGGAAAATCAAGACGGCTCTGATAGAGAACGCCATTTATTACGGGACCTACCTGCTGATCTTCGGCTCGCTGCTCATCTACGTGGCCGTTCATCCAGAGTGGCACCTGTCCTGGTGAGTGGACACCATCGTTCTCATCGAGTCCTCATGTCAGATGTCCCCATGACGTCCTCATGGTGTCCGACGTCCTTGTGGTTTCCTCAAAATGTCCTCGCGGGTTCCTCTTGGCGTCAGATGTCCTCGTGTGTAGACAGCATGATGGGGTCTTTCTCACTCACAATGTGAGTCCTCGTCTCTTTGATGTTTCTCTGTCGCCGTCCTAAAGACACAACGGTGGAATCTTCTGTAAACTATTTGATTTGGCTTATAAATCTTTGGAATTTTAAGAATTGTTTCTAAAGCGTCTAAAACCATTTAACCCAAACATCAGTGATCATGAGACCTCACAGCAAGTGGGCTCCTCCCACAGGAGGACAGTTGTCTTCCCGTGGGACCCACGAGGCTTTGCCCCCTGCTGTGACTCAGGTACGAGCTGCAGACCATCGGCATCACGGCGGCCAACACCTGGGGCCTGTTCCTGCTGGTGCTGCTGCTGGGCTACGGCCTGGTGGAGATCCCCCGGTCCTACTGGAACGCCTCCAGACACGGACACCTGCTCATCAAGACCTACTTCAAGGCCTCCAAGCTGATGACGGAGAAGGCGGATGCGGAGGAGAACCTGGAAGACGTCATGGAGGTCAGCGGGGAGGTGAAAAATGAAGGTGCGAGTCATCCGTGATTTTGTCTCTGACGTCTGGTTTGTTGCAGGAGGTGAGAAAAGCCAGCGAGTCCATCAAGTACAACCACCCGCTGAGGAAGTTCATCGATACCATTCTCCGAAAGGTAAGAGCAACTACTTCCACGCCGGCGGGGTGGTCCACACAGCGGGTGGATTGATCTGACGTGTCCCCTCAGTGTCCAGTGGAATACCAGGAGAAGATGGGCCGCAACATGGACGACTACGAGGACTTTGATGACAATCAGAACACTTACCCCAGCGAGAAGAGCCTGGTGAAGCTCCACAAACGGGTGAGAGGAAGCACAAGCTCCTCCTCCATAAGACGAGGCCTGTAAACAGGAAACATTAGGGGCTCTGACGCAGGGCCTTGTGGGCCACCACGGGGCCAAACCAGGCTCACCTGTGTCTCTGCGTCCAGGTGATCTACGCGGTCCAGAGACACAACAGGACTCGGGTCCAGTGGCAGATCCTCCTGCAGCAGGCGGTCCACCTGGAGGACGTGGCCAAGAACGAGACCAGCACCACCCACCAGTTCGTCCACAGCTTCTCCCCCCCCGGACCCCCTGGCTGGTTCAGTAGGTACCTGTATACGCCGACCGCAGGTGAGTCAGGGGGCGGGGCCTCATGTTATGATGCGTCAACCAAGCGTCCGTCAGAATCTATTGATCCAACACGTAACCGAGGTTACGGTGCGTCCCCTGCTTGCAGAGTGGTTCTGGGAGTGTCTCCTGAGGTGCTGGTTCTACCGGCTGCTGTCCGTGGTCCTGATGGCGTTCAGCGTGGCCGTGGTCTGGTCTGAGTGCACCTTCTTCAGCACGCGTCCCGTCCTCTCTCTGTTCGCTGTGTTCATCCAGCTGGCCGAGAGAGACTACAACTACCTGTACATCGAGGTGAGGCCTCCCATCATGCACTGCTCCCGACCCGGCCCCCTCGGCTCGTTAGTCTGCCTCCCTGCACGCTTTATCTGAAGCAATTACCCACGATTCATAGCAGAGTGATGTTAGACACGGAGAATCACGCGATGCGTTCTAACGAGAGTGACCTCCGTCCTCCAGATGGCGTGCTTCGTCACCATCTTCTTCCTGTGTACCTGCGTTTACTCCACCGTGTTCCGGATCCGGGTGTTCAACTACTACTACCTGGCGTCGCACCACCAGACGGACGCCTACAGCCTCCAGTTCAGCGGCATGTGAGTCACGGCGTCCGTCATTTACTCTTTTTATTTATTTGAATAAAGTAAATATCTCTTTTATTTATAAAGTTTATTTCTGGGAGCTGTGACTGACTAGAAATCTGATACATAAATACAATATGAAGTACATAGAAATACTGCTTAACTATATATTTCTATATTAACTATGTATTTTATAAAGGCGACTAAAAGAATAAAACACCATGAACGATAAAAAACGAGTGAGATTAAAAGATTCAGGGATGATTTATCATTATGAATAATCATCTTCATCCTCCATTGATCTCGGGCCTCCGGGACCAGACGCCAGTAAAGCCAGGAGCATGCTGGGTAGTGGAGGTTAGCCGCTTTAGCTTAGCGATGAGACGTGAGAGGTTCTGTAGAGTCCGATCCAGAACCGCTGCCTCTCTGACCCGCAGGTTGTTCTGCCGGCTGACGCCTCCTCTTTGTCTCAACTTCCTGGGTTTGATCCACATGGACTCGGCAATCTCCCACCAGAAGAAGGAGCAGACGGCGTACACCTCTGTGGGTCACAGGTCTCCTCTAGAACATCTGGAGCAGGAGATGGAGGTTCTGCTGGTTCCAGGAGCAGTAACAGCTGGGTTGTGTTTCAGATCATGGGATCCATGCGAGTCCTGTCCTTCATCGCTAACGGCTTCTACATCTACTACCCCATGCTGATCGTCCTCCTCTGCATCGCCACCTACTTCAGGTGCTCTTTCCCTCCACAGGAGGTCACATGCTCTTCTCTGCTGTTTGGGGTTGATCGGTGGGAGGAGCTGCAGGGATGAGCTTGTTAACCAATCAGCCCGGCAGGTTGTTTCAACTTGCTAATGGGCTGCTTGTATTGACCTCTCATGGCTCTTAGACGTGGCGTTGACTAATGTTCTAATGGACCAACGGGTTAATCAATAAGGTTATTGATGAGCTGATCACCTCCCTCCTCAGTCTGGGGACCCGCTGCCTGAACCTCCTGGGCTTCCAGCAGTTCGTGGGCGACAGCGAGATGACCTCTGACCTGATCGACGAGGGGAAGGAGCTGATCCGCCGAGGTGAGGACTCGGGGCGAGGGAGCAGCAAGCGGCTGGAGGTCGTGACCTCGTGGTCGTTGTGACGCGCTCATGTGGTTGTTTTCACAGAGAAGAGGAAGCGCCAGAGGACTGAAGACGGAGAGAACCGGCGCAGGGTGAGTGGCTGTAATGAGCTCCATGTTCCACTAAATACGGCTCACGGACGGACAAGTAGACACGTGTGTGTGTGTGTGTGTGTGTGTGTGTGCGTGTGTGTGTGTGTGTGTGTGTGTGTGTGTGTGTGTGCGTGTGCGTGTGTGTGTGTGTGTGTGTGTGTGTGTGTGTGTGTGTGTGTGTGTGTGTGTGTGTAGGAGTAGAGGAGCGCTATGGAAACCAGAGAGACGACCACACGGCGAGGAACCGCACCAGTCACGAGCTGAAGGAGACCAGTTACTCCGACACGGTGACGGCCGGCACGCCAGACGTGAGTCGTCTCCACGGCAACAGTCAGACTCCGCGCCACTTCTGGTCTCCGGGCTCGTACTGTCGTATAAACCCGCCTGTCCATCACGGCAGAGGAGGGGCGGGACACGCAGCTTGTTTAGATATAAGGCATACATTTTATGACAGTGAAATGTGGACCAGTGTGGTCGTCGTGGCGCAGGGGAGAGAGGGAGCGCCGGTTCGAGTCCCGGCTGCCCCGTGTCCCATGTCCAAGTGTCCCTGAGCAGGACACCTCACCCTAATTGCTCCCCGGGCAAAAATGTAAAAGCTACGGGTTAAAACTAATGTAAGTGTCGTTGGATAAAAGCGTCAGCTGAGTGACCTGTGATGTGATGTAAGCTGGAGAACCGGATGAAACCAGCTCCCGGTTGCAGCTGCTTCCCGATGGGGTCATCAGGGGTCACGGAGCAGTAACATAACCTGGTGGGTGCCGTGTGTTGAACAGAAGCCAAGTACTCCCGCTCGGGGAGGGACTGCATCGAGCTGCTGCAGGACGCCGAGCCGCTGGACTTCGACGAGTCGCTGACCGACGACCCTGTGGAGGCGGAGCCTAGCAGGTAAAACCCAGCACTGTGGATGTGTGACGCTCCTCGGGGTCGCGTGTTGCTTTGACTGTGTTTGTGCCTCAGACACGCGGGAGGACGGTACCTGTCCATGTCCTCGTCTCACAGCCGGATATTTGACGACGTGTGATGCTGGGCCTGGGGGAGGAGCCGCGGACAGGAAGTGGACGTTATTGCACAGTAAAGACGAGGAAGCAGCGTTCAGGCCTCTGACATCAGCACGTGGATCCGCATGGCGGTCTGAGCGCACGGCGTCGCTTTGTGTACCTGTTGTTTATTTACCTGTATGATCGTCACTGATGACAGATCAATAAGTGCGTGTGAAAGGTTTAGTCCGTCCTCTCTTCACATCTTCACACCTATACACGTATATGTATATATATATATATGTATATATTTTAGGGCATCGTGTTTTACTCTAAAAAATATCCATATTCCATCTTTAAGATTCCCTTGATTGAAGATTGAACAAGTGTTCAAATGCTCTTTTTAATCCCTTTACTTCTTCTGAGACGTATTTAGAATAAAAGCAGCAAGCTGAATGTTCAGTGAACGTTAACGTCAGTGAGCTTTGGCCACGCCCACCTGTGATGTCACAGCGTACCTCAGCTGAAAGCTAGATATCATATTGGCGATATATGATTTCGTCCATGAGCTACGAGAGAAGTGATGAATATTGACCACAAATTTAGACAAATACTTTTCATTTGACTTTGAGTAAGTCATGACGCTTCTTCTTAATCATAGTTCACCTGGTTTACCCACATACATTTAAATTAGGTTTTTCATTTTTGAAATGACATTTGTAAAGAGAAAGAGGCAAAGACCTTCAAAGGGACCAGCCTGTGTTTCATTAGCTATTAGTCACTTTAATGATTACTCTTTAAAATGCTGAATACATCTTTACTCATTTCTAACCCTTCTCTGTAGACACGGTGACCAATCAGATTCAAATCAATCCCAAACAATACTTCAGAGCTCTGAAGTCAGTAAACCTTTCAAATAAATGTTGTACTTATAATTTACATGTGGTCATTTACATGGAAATCAAAATGTTCTCATGTTCACTGAGCCGAGCCTGAAGGCATCATGATGTAACTGAAGTGAACATCCATGATGTCATCATCAATGATTTCACTAAACTTTATGATAAACGTGTTGGGGGGGGGGCACTGCTCAGGTGCATAACAGTCTGTTACACCACTAAAGTAGAGTGAAACACAGGTGTGTCCCGTTAAGGACGTTAGCATGTAGCTACCTTAGCATGTGGTGGACTCTGCTGGCAGGTTCAGCCCAGCTCCTGTAAAGCCGGAGCGACTGACCTGAGATCAGCGACGGGTCCTGCAGGTGTCAATTTGTATCATGGGTTTTATATAAAATATGAATGATTGACAGAAAGCATTAAAGTGACTTTGTATTTATTGGTAACTCTTTGTTTCCTGATTGGTCTGATGAAGTATTGATGTTCTGTATTTATTGATCTCTTTGTTGTAGTGAATTATCAAAAGATTATTAGTTTTATTATCGTGGGCTTCTCTGCTGCAAGTGATCAAGTGTCAATAAAAATGATCAAAGTGTTGAAGGCTGCTGACGTGTTGTGTACATGATTCTGAACCAACGTGTGTTTTATGGAGGAGAAGCTTCTGGAACATCTCAGTTAACTCGCTTGTGTTCTAAGCAACAGAGCGCCGTGTCCGCGTGCGTCACCCATTACGTCACTTCCGCTGTCCGCAGTCACCATGGTAACAGGACGCCGCGGCTGTGTTGTGTTTTAAACGAGCTCGCAGGAGAATCGATTATTAATATTCATACAAACATGCTGCTTTGTCAAAGAAGAAGGAAGTGTCGCGAGCTCACGGGACCGACGCCTCACGCCGTGGCTGTGGTGAGACATGCTAAGCTAAGGCTAATGCTAATGCTAATGCTGCTTGTTTTAGGGTTTTATTGGGTATCAACTGCTGTTTGACGCTGAAATGAATCAACCACAACTAGTAACGTTACATTTAGTCCATTTATCTTCATTAGGTAGTTTTGTTTTTATTTTTAGCCAAAAGTAACTTTACTTTCAAAATACTCTCTACTCGTTAATTTCGCATTTTATTATCATCATTAGAAATTGTAGTATTATCCAGATCGGAGCATTATTGGACACATTCATGTATTTGTGTTTCTTCATGTTTCTTCAAAACTAATTTCCTCTCGTAAACTGAAAACTTGAAATGGTATTTTTGTGTAACGCAACACAGTATTAATACATACTATTAATATAGTATTAATGTATATTAATAATATTAAGAGATAAAGTCAGCTGGTGGGTTTCATTCATTTATAAATCCTGACATCTTTCACAGCTTAATAAGTCAAACGATCCTCTGTGCAGAGAGCGAAGTTCCCGTCCTCGCGCCCTGCAGACCAGCTGACCCTGGACAGACAGAAGCAAGAGGCCTTCAGAGACCAGGTCCTGGACTCCACTCAGAACCAGCGCTCGTGTGACATCACCGCTTCCTGGCTGCAGAGCTCACAGCTTCGCTTCCTGAGAGGAGCCGTGGACCGCCGAGTCCAGGCCGCTCTGGACCAGCAGGAGGTCCACGTGGCGGAGAGGAGAGACAGGTCCGTCTCTGGGGGGCGGAGTCTGTCTGTCTCCTCCTGTTTGTACCCGTGTGTCCCCACCTGCCCGTCTCGTCAGGTCTGCCTCCACCTCTCTTATGTGTCCTCCTGTCTGTCTCCTTCTGTCCCAGGCTTCGTGTCCTGTTGGAGACGGAGGAGCAGCAGCTCCAGCAGGAGATGGAGGAGATGAAGGAGACGTCGCTGGAGAAGCAAGCGAAGATGAGAGGACGAGCTAAAGCGCTGAGAGAGGAGAGAGAGCGAGAGCGCCGGCAGCTGGTCTCCCACAAGCTGGAGCAGCAGTTCAGGTGAGCTCACCTGTGAGAGCAGCACACAGTACACAGTACTGCTCTCACAGGTACACGCAGTACTTTAGACAGTACAACAGAACCTCCTGCTGACGTGTGTGGACCCTCCTCCAATCAGAGAGCAGTGCGTGGAGCTGCGGGGCGTCCAGAGCCGGCGCACCGAGCAGCAGGTGTGTGAGGAGCGAGCCGCCCAGGTGAGGAGCCGGCAGCGGCAGCGGGAGCAGCAGCAGCAGGAGGAGGAGCTGATGGAGGAGCTGTGGGAGGCCGACCGGAGGGCCAAAGAGGAGAAGGAGGCGCAGAGGGAGGAGCACCGGCGCCAGAGGAGCAAACAGCAGCTGGACGACATCAGGAGTCAGATGGAGGAGGCGGCGCAGCAGAGGAAGAAGCACCGGGAGCTGAGAGACGAGGAGGCGGAGCTTACGGTGCGTCTAATCACATCTACGAGAAACTGCTCCAGGTGTTCTCATGGTTCCTCCCAGAGTCCTCCTGGTCCCTTCATCCTGATGGGGCTGCTCTCTGGATGAAGGTAGCAGGAGGACAGCTGTTCTCGTGGCTCCTACCTGCCATGTCCCTGTGGTCCTCAGCGGCGGCAGCAGGAGGTGCAGCGGCTGCAGGAGCAGCGCGAGCGGCAGCAGGCCCAGCGGGACCGGCTGACCCGGAGGAAGCAGCTGGACCAGGGTCTGCGTCTGAAGATGAAGCGTCTGTCCAGAGAGCAGCAGGACGAGCTGCAGCTGGACATGAGCGTCCTGCAGACGCTGCTGCAGCAGGAAGTGGACGAGAGACGGGACGCCGCCGTGAGGAAGGTAAAGTTATTTATACTCACATGACTACTGGAGTCAGAGCGATACCGCTGTGTATAAATACTAGTAGAATAAACTAGAATACATATAAAATGGGTCATTAGCTACCATTTTTATCTTGTATTAATACTACACACCTAAAACCGTAATATCAGTCGTTAGTAACACATGTTTCACCAAATCATTTACAAATATATTTAAATATGTGTCTAAAGTACAGTTATAATGTGTTACTTTAACTACGTCTCATACTTTAACCAAAAGAAACACGTTTATAGATGTACTTCAGGTACTTTGTTATATTTCACCACAACGCACTGGGAATAAAGGTAGTAAACATGAAGTTACTGGTCGTGACCAGCAGAGAGCAGCACTCAACCATGTTGTTATGGATGGATTGTAACGAAGCACAGAACAGCTGGAGGAGGAACCTGAGGGCTCCTCCATCAGGTGGAGAGAGGGTGAACGGTGGCTCTTTGTCGTTGAGGCCGAGTGGCGTGAGGAGCAGCAGAGGTACCGGCAGCATCTATCGGAGGAGCTGAAGCAGCAGAGGAGGGAGGAGGAGGAGATAGAGCAGCTGGTGGAGGAGTCGCTGAAGGAAGTCTGGACCAAACGGGCGGAGCAGAGCCGCCTGCAGAGGGAGGCCAGAAACAGGCTGATGGAGGAAGTGATGGAGGCTCGGAGTCTGCAGATCCCAACACAAACGTAAGAAAGCCGGAGGTGGACGACTGACGACATTCATCGATCCCTCGTGTTCCACAAGAAGCTGCAGCACCACACAAAGGTTTCTGCGTGTGTGTTACAGTGGACCAGAACCTACAGAAACAAGTGGAGCTATCCAAAGAAAAAGACCAGTTGGACAAAGTGATGGAGGAAACGAGGCTGATGGAGGAGGAGGAGAAAAGGAGGTACGTCGTTGTCGTGTTAATCTCCATCTGCTCTCCGTGTCTCACTGGCTGAATGGTCTCTGGTGGTCCTCTCAGGCTGAAGCAGACCTCGCAGGAGTACCAGGCCGCCCTGAAGGCCCAGATGAAGCAGCAGCAGCAGCTCCGTGGTCAGCAGAGAGCTCGGGCTGAGATGGAGCACCAGCAGGGTCTGATCCAGCAGGAGCTGTACGAGCAGAGGAAGGAGGAGATCCTGTCCAGGCCCACATCCCACACCTCCTCCTCCTCCTCCTGCCATCCCTTCAGAGTGGCCTCCAGACGTCGCCTCACAGAGTCAGGACCCTCACATCTTATCCACGAAGGAGATGTACCAACACATCAGAGTCTGTGAGCCTCTATTCGCCTCCATCAGAGCTCACGAGTCACTGGAATACTGCATTCAATATTCACCTGTTAAACAATATATAATAAAAATATACAATATACCTTCTCAAATAATACACGTTCTCTTTTCTGAATGACCAGACAAACGTGTTTCATGATGATCCTCGTTGGTCACGTGACCCTGTGGTGTATCAGGAGTACTTTTACTTCACAGTACATCTATGTATAATACATCATTATGTAATTCTTCCTCCCTCCTGAATAACAGACACTTTTTTTTATTATCTTCTAATCATGATAATTATAAAGGAAACAAAGTGTCACTTTTTATATCGCAGATATGAGGTCATGTGACTTCCGGCCAATCACAGACGGGCAGGCAGCTGAGGGGCGTGGCCTATAAACAAGTGGAGAGGCGTGTGAGATGACGTCAGAGGTGTTCTGCGTGGAGCTGCTTGTTTCTCAACCACGACGTCGACGGTTCGATCCCAGAAGCTGCGCATGCGCAGGATGTCTATTGATATATTACATGAATAAACTCTTCATTCAAATAATAAGAGTAGTAACAACAACAGCAGAATAATCATAAATAAATACAACAAGTCAACTTTACAACTAGATGTAAAGTAAACGTCTTGTAATTCTTATAGCTTACTAACAATAATAATGGATTTTAATTAAAGAGATCAACTTGTCAGATTTTACAAAGGCAGCAGTGGATAAATAACAATGATAATACAAATAATATAATAAATGTGACTTGTAGCATAGTATAAATAATAATACTAATACTATGATAATTATGTTTACATTAACACAAAACAATATAATAATATTAGCAAGAATGAATAAAAATGACGTGTCATCATAATGCGGTGCAGCAGCGCCTTGTGGGCGGGGCGTCGTGCCCACAGGTAAACATACCTGCGGAGGGCGTGACGGGGTGTGGGCCCATTATCTGTTGAAATGTCGCTGTGCTGACAGGTCTGAGATCAGCAGCTTCCCACAGTCACACGATCCACAGCTGCACAGCATGCTGGGACTCCTGAGGGTCCGGTGATCTATTGGTGTATCGATCTGCTGATTGGCCGACAGGATGACCAGCGACTATTACCCGTATTCCAAGGTAAAGGTCCTCCTTATCTTCTCCCTCCCTCCTTATCAGCTCCACAGCGATAACAGCTGATTCACACTCAACTCGTTGCTCTTTATGCCCCTCGGTGCGAAGGAGACTTATGGAACATGGAGACATTTCCACAACATACATGTCAACAAAACCAGGTTCAAAGACGTGAACATTTATGATAACAACTCTTTAAATATCTCCATATGATACTATGATACTGTTAACAGACATAAAATAAATCAAATCACTGAAGACTTTTATTGTTTAAATCTCAGTGATTCTGTGGTTTTCATATTTTTAACTGTCTCTCATTATGTTTCATAGCCGTCGTAGTAGTTTATTTTATAATATTTGATTCTTTGTGTGAAGTTCTTAACTTCTATACATTTTTATTTCTTGTGTCTATGTTTATTGTTATGCTGTTGGCGACGATGAAAACTGTGACGCTGTGCTTTCATTGGCTAGATGAAAAAATAAATAAATCATAAGAGCAAATAAAGTAAATATATATGAATGAATAAGTAAATTGACAAATTCATAAATAAGCAAATTAATGATTGAATAAATAAAAAAGTAAATGGATGAATTATTTAATTATATGTAAGTCAATAAATGAATGCATAACTAAATGCCATTGACATAATTATGTGTTTTAACGCGCTTCGTGTATATATTATATACACGAAGTAACTTTCTATTAAATATTGATATATATCTATATATTGTATATACGACCACTATGAATATAATAACAATAATAACAAGCAAATTTTCAAGTATGAAATTGACAAAATGTTGTTAAATATAAAAATAGTGCAAATCAATACTAGACATTGACGATGTACATTTTTCTAACCAAATAAAAGAATTAAAAAAAGAATGAATACCTATTAAATAATATTTGACCTCCTTTTATAGTTTTTATTGATCAACATATGAAGTTTCTACCTGGGGGCCGTTTTGGGGGTCGCGAGCATCAAGTTGAGCCCCAGTGTGTGTGTGTGTGTGTGTGTGTGAGAGCGTGTGTGCGTGTGTGTGTGTGTGTGTGTGTGTGTGTGTGTGCGTGTGTGTGTGTGTGTGTGTGTGTGTGTGTACAGTAGGAAGAAGAAACAGCCAATCAGATCGTCTCTTTTCTGCCCGGAAGTCTTGGTCCTGCAGCCGTTTGTTCCACCTAATTACCGAACCAATACAGGACCAATACCGGGTCATTACCGGGTCAACACCGGGTCAACGCCGGACCAACACCGGGCCACTACCGGGCCGATACCGGCTCTTTACCGCGTTAAAGTGGGACGCCGGGGAACCTCCGCGGTCCGGTTACCGGAGGGAACACCTGCCCGGTGCGTCGCCCGGTTCACACCGACTCGCTTGCGGGTCGGAGGATTTTAACGGGTCACGGCACGAGCGGACTTCGTCCGTTCGTGGGTCCACGAGCCGGACGATGTCGGTGAACGAGCTCTACTCAAAGGTGAGTGACCCTACCTGTGGGGCACGGTGACGTCACGGCGGCGCGAGGACGCTGAAACAATATGCCAATCATTTCCGCGGCTGATTAACGGGAGGCCGAACGAACCGGGGAACCGGGCAGAGTTCTGCTGCCGAGTCGCGCGCTGACGTTCAGCGCTTTAAGTGGTGATTCTTTAAAATACACGTTTATCAATATGGAGTCCGGCGGCGCGCTGCGCGGGCACGAGCGGGCTCAGAGCAAATGTAAATGATTGTTTTCATGCGGTTTGGAAGCAAAGAGACATTTTGAAATGTTGTACAACGATGTGAAAGTAGTTTGTGAAATGAATATATATGAATTCTACTTCTTAAACACTGATAATAAGCATCGTCATCGTCGTTAATACACAAATGACTACTTACTAAACTTTATCAACACACCCACAGAGATGCTTGCAGCTGTCTTCTGCTTCAGGTTGTTGTGACGTCACAGTGACGTCATGGGGCTAAAGGTTCGGCAGCCGGCGGTCTCCAGGTGCATTGTGGGAAACGGGGCTTCGACTTGAGTTTGACCCGCAGTGACGCGACGCGGTTTGACGGATCAATAGATTTGATTTTGATGAGTTTTAGAAACATAATTCACTTTTAATACGTAGAGAATCTGAATTATATGTTTATTAGCTCATAACATCATAAATCAATCAGTGAAAACCTCTTCAAACAATTGGATTTATGATGTTCAAACTCAAATAGTTAATAATCAATAGCACAAACATAAAGAGATTAAATTTAACACATCAATCTGCTACATGGATTGATCTTAAAATATGAGATGAGTGAATTTGTGGATAATGTGTCGTGTTATTATTAATTGTAACAATAATCTCTTCTCGCAGTGTTTCATATGGTTATTCTCACTCAATGATCAATAAATAAACCGTTTGTGTTGAGTAGAGATGAGACTGAGACGGTTGACGACGTGTGATGAAGCTTTGGGGTCTTAAGGAAGAGGATTACCCTGAAGGGGGGGGGGGGGGATTTAATGTCTCCCTCAATCTGTTTGTACATTTCATTTGGGGAGATTGTTGAAGAGACACTTTGCTAATCCTTGCTGGTTACCCAATAACTAGCAGTGCGTCAGAGTGAAGTATCGGTCGTCATAGCGACATCATCATTAGTTTGTGGACTTCATGAAGCCTCCAGTTCTTTTTCTTGTTTTTTTATCACCCGTTGAACAGGAAGTGACCAATTAGGAATGAGTAGGAGGGCGTACTGACGCCTTATTCATCTGTTAGAGACCTGTCAATCAGCGTCTAGCCCCGCCCTAAAGCATCTCCTGCTTTATGGTCTATTGGCGACCTGTCAATCACGTCCCCTTGTCTCACTTTTTGACGTGATCTGAAGATCAAAACTCCTTGTCAGGTAAATGGGTTAATTTTACTTCCTGTGGGACACGCCCGCCTCCTCTGTGATGTCACGGCGTGACTCATCAGTGGGCGGAGCCTTGAGGCAACCCGAAACCAGGCTGCTCTCAGTGCAGTGAGACAGATTCAAACGGTCTCACTGCTTCAAATCAGTGAGGTTCCTACTGAACCTGCTCCTCTAGTTCTCCTCCTCCACCTCCCTGTGTGTGTGTGTGTGTGTGTGTGTGTGTGTGTGTGTGTGTGTGTGTGTGTGTGTGCGTGTGTATATATATATATCTATATATATATACATCTATATATATATATATATATATATATATATATATATATATATATGACAGAGTCTCATACGAGCTTCTGCTTCATGTAACTGCGAAAAAGCAAATATGGCTGCTAAATATTTACCGGCATGTGGAACACTTCCTGTTTCTAAAGAATCCTTCTTTGTCCGATAGAAGTAAAAGTCAATTGATAATAAATGATGAATAAGTTAATATTTGTGATGACATAATGAGGCGAGCAAACACTGAGCTGTTGTTGTTGTGTCGTTGTTGACTCACTTGAATAATGGAGTAAAACGTTGCGTTTC